ATGGAGAAACAGAAGCTGCAAATCCATTCACAGTCCTGGCAAGATTCCACTTGTCATTAAATGGATGACATATGAACTCCAGAAATTAGTGGTTGGTTATTCTTCTTAGATTCAGTGTGAAGTCAATAACAAGTCAGCCCAATATATTTAGAAAAAAAGCAACCAGAGCAATTTTGGAATTTGGAAGTCCAGTGTTTGAGGGACAGCAAACGTTTCTATAGAGGAGACAAATCTCAGGTGACACTATTAGCTAGTGTTTCAGACGTAGTCGCCAACCCCGATTGGGAGGTTCCTTCCAGCCTTTACCACTTTCTAGCCACGTAACCGCGGGCACACCTCTCCGCTGCTCCGGGGATGGTAACCGTGCTCCCCACAGTGCTTCGCACAGTGAGTGGACAACGAAGGGCTGTCCTGGGGCAAGGGAGAGGCATTCATTTTGAGTATTCTCACTCTCTTTTTACACCCAAGGAAGGTCCAGCCACAGCGAGAAAAATTGATGAACAGAAGAAAACAACTTTCTCTGGCACTGTCACAGAGATCTCAACACAGGAACGGTGACCACATGCCTTAGTGCTTTCTGAACTATTTTTCGGGGGGAGAACGCCGTAGGGAAAGGGGAACAGCCGGGGCCATTTCCAGGACCCAGGTCAAGCGGACGGTTGCTAGGCAACCTTAGGAAGGAGGGAAAGGGGGGAGGCAGCCCCGCCCAGGTTCCGCCCCCACCTCAGCGCTCCTCGCCCCACCCTCTCCCCGCCAAAGTCCCGCGGGGCTAGGCAGTCCAAGCATCAACACTCGCGACAGGCTAAGGCATTGTGACGCATGCGCGCTGCTTCCCGCGCGACTCGACGTGACGCGCGCTCCCTTTCTCGACCATACTCTCTGCCCCGCCCCTTCTTACACGGCAGCAAGTGTTGCCCCCAGCTCTGTTCTCACCCAGACCCGGCCCTGCCCACACGTGGTCTTCAGTCCTGTGAACAGTAACTGTAGAACAACCTCAAGTCTGGAGACCCACGTCCCATACTCCCTTGGTGGTGGTGGTGATGGGCGGGGGGGATGGGGGGTAGAAGAATAAGGCGGGATGAGAGAAGGCGGTAGTTGTCGCGCGCTCACTTCCGGAGGACGGGCGGAAGTGGCTGCTGTGGATGGTGGGGGGGAGGAGCGCGAGGGGAGGGCCGGACCGCCGGGGGTCGAGGGGGTGGGGCCTGGGCCAGCAGTGGGGACCCGGCCTGGGGCCTAGACTCTGGCTGC